AAAAAAATCAATTCTAATGATGATATGAATCACAATAATATTGATGATAATATATACAAAAAACAACAACAATTATATTGTTTGTTAAAACATGATTCTATTAATATTAATTATCAACCAATAACAGATGATGATATTTTCATATTAGAAGGCGGTGATAATGATATAAATTATGGTTCAGGCATTTACCAAATTGGTGTAGATTTAAAAGGTAGTATTTCATTGTTTATAAAAAAAATATTAATAACAGGCATCATTATGCTCTTATAGCAAATCATACTTTAAAAAATGTAGACAAAAATTAATTTGAAGTGAAGTGTAGCAATAATTCATTTAACAGTTTATCTATTGATTTGGATGACATTATTGAATTAAAACATGATGCTGCATTGTTTAGAATAAAAGGAATCTCGTATTGTAGAATTGCAAATTTAAATTGTACAACATTATCAAGTGATAATTGTAATGAATTTTTATCGTCATCAGAATCATCGATTGAATCATTCCAGATCAATCGATACGGCCTGTATATGGCCGTTTGGTGTGAAAATACGGCCCGGTATATGGTGCCGTATTACTGTACCCAAGATGGCGAGAAAATACGGTCCGTTCACGGTGCCGTATGAAGCCTATTGACGGTGAAAATACAGATAGCCGTTTCGATAGACCCGGGATTATGTGAATCTTTATCATTGGACGACTCAAACAATGAAAACTTCCCGGCTGCATCAGATAAACAGACACATAACCCAACAAATGTTGATGTTTGATCCTTAAAATCATTATTTACTAAGTGTAAACCAAAAAAAGGTACCAATATTTAAATATGGTGCGGTTACAAATTTAACAGTCGATTTTATTAAAGCAATTGATACGAAAGCAAAATTAGACAAGATTCGCTATGTTAATTTAATTGAAGTTGAATGGATTGAAGGTACTGAATTTGCAGTAAATGGTGATTCTGGGTCATTATATATCGTTTATGACTTGACAACAGGTTCATTTGTTCCTGTGGCATTGCATATTGGAACAAAACGAAACAGATCATGTGATATTTTATCAACATATATATTTCAAGAATTAATTGAAAGACAATGTCAATTTTTATGTGCGATTCAACTTCCTGCCAAGAATGTTAATTTGAATAAAACATCTGAAGTGATCGTAATCTTGATCCTATTGTTAAAGAACGAAACTTTTTTTTCATGTTTTTGTTTGTCTTTTTGATGTACATTAAATAAAAAAGTCAAATATCTATTAAAAAAACAATCTATTTATATGTTTATTTAAATTATTGAAATTTTCTCAAGTAAACTACATTAGATGAAAAGAGATCAACATGTCATAAAAGAAATTATGATGATCTATCGACTTATGAAACTTAATATTCCTCGTGAGTAGATTGTTGTAAATCTATAAAGTATGTAAAACGATGAATATATAGAAATTTTCAAAGATGCTCTTTACTTTACTGATTTAACTTGTCTTGTACACTCATGCATTCTTCTATTCATCAATTCTTCCTTTTCATTTGTACTTTGACAAATAATATTTTGTTCCTATTTTACATATTATTTATATTTCATAAAAGACTGTCAGTTTGTTTCTGAATCATGTAATATAACTATGAAAGAAAGTATGATGTATCAAACGAGGAAAGATAACTAGATTTAAATTAAAACAAAGTAGAAAAGCTGATAATTTAAATAACAAAAAATACCAGATGTTCACAAGTCAATTTAGGACTTGTGAGCATAGAATAATTAGTAATATATTAAGTTAAATTTCATTGTGTATTAATTAAAAGAAATCTTCACCATTATCTTTCTTCTAGAAATTCAGAAAGGTTTTTATTATAAAAAAATTTTTCATAATTGAAGAAAATAACACCTCATGTATATATCTGTCAGTGTTCGTTCTATGAATATGCTCTATGACTTTTAGAACGTATTTCTTTTCTCAAAAATGATCTAAAGGCATTATTCAAAACACAAACAAAAGAAAACGCAGATTATGTATTCAATTGTTGGTTTTCGATAATCTGCTTCTTACCAAGACAATCATATTGATTGAAATTAGTTTCAGATTAAAAGCTATGTTAGTGGTAGACTTCACTATGAACGAATTCCATCTATACTAATCAAACTTCAACATAAGTAACTGACTCAAAAATAATTTTGACGGGTGTGGGGTGTGAGTGTGAATGAAAATAAGGTCTACACCCACACCTTCACTCACGCCCATATTCACCTCAAACTAACTGCATTTTATCGAGTTTACTATTCATCATTATTACTATTTATGTTGTAAGCTTTTTTCCTCGAACTTAAACACATTGTCTAATTGTCATGGTAATAAAGAATCAAACATCAAATGGACACGAAGTAATCGATGTGCAAGAGCAATTATAAACAAAAAAGATATAGAAAATAATTTTCAAATAAAGATGACTTTAAAATATGGGTGTGAGTGAACGACTTCTCTTCCTGTACACAATCAACCATACCCATATCCACATCCAGTTATTACAAGCGATAGTTTCGTCTCATATAAAACTTGATAAGTATACTATAATACGAAGTTTTTTCTTCATATCATGTAGAGCCTTCGACATATCACGTCAATTCTGTCTAGATTAAAAGGTTTTTTGGTTAAAAAGAGGTCACGTGGCCTGTACAGCACAGCAAATTGTTTGAGATCGAAAATCTCCATTCAGAAAAAACTTACGCCCTCTATAAATTGGAGTAATTCTTCTTTAGCCAAAATAACTTTTAATTAAATTTTTGTAAACTGATTCATGGTCTCTATGCACTCTCATTAGTCAAATCTTTGAAAGTTAACTATCGAGTTTCATTGTTTTAGAGAAAACTAATAAATTTGTTAACTTTATAATCAACAGAAAATTTAAAGCAATTTCATTATACTTAAACTTGATTTTATTCATGTTCGCATATGCATGAGAAGTAGTTATGGTGATCATATGTTATTTTGTTAGTATTCCTTTTCACTTTTTCAAAAAGAGATGCGTACTTAAAGCTGTAAAAGCATTTTTTTTTCTCTACTCACCAATTCACCATCACATTTTATTTACGAACAAATTACATCTCATAAAAGCGCACATATTTTTCTTTAATAAATAATGGCTAGTACCTCTCCATTGAAGCTTTGTGCTACATGTGAGACAGTTCCTGCTGAACAAAAACCAAAATCAGGTATCTTATTATGTACGGGCTGTCAAAAATACTTCTGTTCTCAACATACTGAACAACATAGACAGTATCTGACCGATTTACTTGAGAATGAAGTTGTCAATAAAAGAAATGCATTGCAAGAAAAATTTTCAATATCTTACGAGCAGCAGTTGTCTGCTGGCATCAGAGAAAAACTAGAGACAATCAACAAATGGGAATTATAAATAACTGAACTGATCAAAGAATCAGCTGCTTGCGCACGTAAACAACTACAGGAAATATCTTTGAAAGACTATGAAAACTTAAAGAAACAATTTACTCTGCTATCTGATAAACTAAATGCACTACGAGAAAATGAAAATTATTTTGAAAATGATGTTGATCAGTTAAAAAAATAAATTTCAGCAACTGAAACATGACATGGAACATTTTCTCATTGAACTTAGCATCAATAAAATTTCAAATGAATTAGTCTTAGTCAAATCAATCGTTGAATCAGCTCCGACTTATTACTTTGTTGATCAACGTCTCACATCACAAAAACCGAAGATATCCATTGATATTTCAGCAATGAAAATTGGCCGAATGTGTCCGATTGGTGATCAATTGATTGCATTTTACTCTGAAAACGAATTACTTGCTCTAAATATTGATGATAATTCATGGCAAAGCCTGTGCTCAATAAGCGACGCTACCGAATTGTATTGGTTCAGCTATTTGCAGCAATTTTTAGTATTGAAATATAGTGGTAAAACCAGTGAATCGAATAGGCTATATCAGTTTGATCCAAATTATGGAACGTGTGAAGAGATCTTGAAAAACACAGTAGCCTCGAGTGCTATTTCGCATCACAATATCACAACCTTGACATGTTTTGAACGGCATATTTTAATCGTTCGCGAAGATAAAATTCAAAAGTGGACAGCAAGTAATAGAGACTGGCACTCTAATAAACAATCTCCTATTTGTTGGCATCCACCATCTCATGTGAATCGGGAGATAAAATAAAATGTATTCGAATGAATGATCTGTATTATGCACTCATAATTGAATAAGTTAACCAACAATCTGCATCGATAAAAGTGTTCTGTTTTGAACTAAAAAAGCCATGGTATGTCAACGCTTCGCCGTGTAAAATTAGATTATTATGATACGCTTGAGACAACACGATTACTTAGTTTACCGAATAAATCCGGTTGGTTATTGTTTTTCCATCGGGAGTAAAACAAATGTTGTCACGTACTCGATAATGACGTTAAACGATATGATCAAAATACCGTTTTGTCATCAAATTTCACCGATATTGCCGTTCGAAATAATTTAGTTTTTCTTCGAAAGAAAGACGAAAACAGTAATAGTGATATCATTGAAATTTACGACTGGCGGAAATGAGCAAGGTTGATGTAAAATGTTTTGGCAAAACATAGACGATGAGCTTGAATTTCTTTTCTAATCGACTAACAATTTATGTTTTTATACTCACGCTCTACATCAGTTTCTCCTACAAACACTAGATATGCGCTAATTGACCATGTTCCTCATTTCAATTGAAAACACATCACGCAGCATCTTCTGGGTTAGGCGTGAGGTACACTCATGGTCCTTCTCGCCAACTGTACACATGCCCCATACTCTCAATAAAAAAAACCATCCAATAAATAGGTTGTTTGTACTGCAAAAGCACTGTTGTCATAGCTAAACATTGCTTGAATATTAGTTGTTACTGAGAGCATTAAAGACGACAGTTATAACTTGATTATTAATGTTAAACTTGCTCAAGCGGATGCTGGTGTGGGTGTGAAGCAAGAAGAAAAGCCATATCTACACCTTCATAACTGTTGATATCCTTCATTTAGGGTATTCTGAACAATCTTCATTGAATCTTCGCCATGAAGTTAAGAGTAGAAAGAATGAAGGTGAATCATTTTATATCATTCAGATAAAAGATAGCGAACACTTATTTTATGTTACTATTTGCCTCCGAGTGCGTTTATAAAATTCTTAAGTTTATATCAGAATTCCAATGCATTGCATAAGTCTATCAATTTGATGAAATAATAAACATATGTTTAAGGGTGTACCCCTCCCCTTTCTTACTTAATTTTTTTTGTCACTATTGTATAGTTTCAAACAATATCTATCTACTGCATGCATATAGGGATCGAAAGATTGTCTTTAAAAGTTCGAGAAAAGATCTTATTTACATAACAAAAATAGTGAAAACTATGCATTGTTTCGTGTTTTCCTCAAAACAATTTTTTCATGAAAAAATCTGTAGCAATGCTCCTGTTCCTTCAACATAGTACGTCCTATCGAGCTGAACCTTTTTTCATATCTGTTAGACACTGTTTAGGTTTTTTAGGGTACCTTGAATATTTCATCTTTTTTTGTTTGACAAAAAAAAATGAAAAACGTAGTATCTTGAAAAAAATGAGAGCGAAAACTGAAACCATTTCTAGCCGTCGTGATTTCAATATGTCGTAGAATACAGTATCGGAGAATGTTGAATCTATGACAATGTTTGCTCTACTCATCAAGACCTAAATGCTCTGAAAATTTCAAATTTTTCTTATATTATATATCTGTTTTCGTTGATATTCTTGATTTACTGATGATACAAATGTTTCATATTTTATAATAGTCCGTGCAATATAAAGTCTTTTCATGTGCATCATGTTTTGATCTACCAATCAATGAAAAATTTCATAGATAATCTATTTCAAGTGCAATTTATATTTATTGTAGAAAAAAAATAATTCAATTACGAATGAATAATAGATAAGAGAAAAAAAGTACTTATGAACAAAAGAATTAGACAAATCATACCAAAGAAAATTCACACGAATCAAAACATAACAACAGAAACAGCAACTGTATATTTAATGTAATAGGCTATTGAATGGTTCTCTTATATAAATAAATCAATAAGATAAAAACAAAAAGAAGAAGAAGAAAAAAGGAAAATAATAGTAGATATTGATAGACCAATTGAAAATCTAGTCTAACATCTTGTTTTGCTTCTTCATTTCATAAATTATATTAATGGAAGAAGACGAATAGAGAAGAGTCTCAAGATAAACGTGGTCTTTGGTTTTTACCTAATAGTCTTGTGAATGAAATGAATATTAAAATTTTCCTGAGTGACAGAAAAAATCGATCTGCAATAGTCATACAGATTGAAGACGCACATACATGGAAGAATCATTCAAATGAAGTTCATTCACACATCGATACAATACCATTACGAAAAAAAACAGAAATCATCTGACATGTACCATATACACTCTTGAATTTTAATATCAATTATTAAAAGTTTTATTGATGATAATTATTAAAATTGTATAATCGAGATGATGGTTGTGAGCGTTGTTCTAAACCACCATGATCTGATAAAGGTGAATCATTATCATCATCATCATCATCATCACTATAATGTCTATTATAGAGATATAGAACAAAAAGAAAAAGAAATCTTTCTTTTATATTAAATTTGAAAAGATTTTTTTTTTGTTACCCTTGAGTTAATCCACTTTTTTTCTTAGCCGCATTTTTTTGTTTAACTTGTTTAACTGATGTTCGATTACGTTGAACTATTTGAGATTGATCATTTAAACGATTTTGATATACAATCATATTTTGTGTTGAACCATAACCTGAATTTGGACTAATTGAATTAGGTGTTTCATAACCAGCTACAATTCCTGATGATGATAATGATTTTGATGGTCGTATTGGTGTTGACATAACAAGATTAGTTAATGATGATGATGATGTCCAATTTTGTGTATTATTATTATTATTATTATTATTATTATTAGATATTGTTTGTTGTTCATATGGTATATGTTGAAAACCAGTTGATGTATAACGTGTTGAATAATCATTTGAATTTTTTGATAATTCTTTTCGACGATTTTTTGTTGTTATTGGTTTAGAAAATTTATATTTTTGATCATTTGTTTGTACATCAAGATTATTATATAGTGCATCAATTTGATCGATTGTTTCATTAAAACGATTTAAATTATTTGATGGTTGTGAATAATTATGAACTAATTCATTAACTTGATCAAAATTATATGATTGTTTAGGATAATATTGTGATGAATATGTTTGATACGGACTATTAGATTGTTCATCACTTGAATAATTTGTATTCAAACCTTGACAACGAAATTCATCCGAACTAAAATAACCTGATGAACGATTTAATGAACGATCTGATGAATGAAAATCGCTATTAATTGTAACTATATTTCCTGGTCGTGCAGAAATATTTTGTATTGAAACACGACCATCTTTTGATGTTGTTACAATAGCACGTGAATTTTGATCAAGCGAAACAACAGTAGGTTGTTGTATTGTTTGAGGTGGACGTTTTTCAATTTCAATTTCAAAATCTAAATTACCAAGACTACCAGAATGATATTTTGTTTGAGGATGATATGTTAATTTTGAACTAGGAGAATATGACTGTTGTTGTTGCCGTTGTTGGTTTTGATCGTGTAAAGATGCATGATAAGATGAAGAGCGTGCTGGAAAATCTATGGAAGAAGAATGGTCATGTTTAGTTCCACTAGGACCTGGAATAAAACAAATAAACAAAATTTTATAAAAACAGAGATTATTTTTATACGAAAAAAGAAAAATGTAATTAGTAAGAATCCCAAAAGCTTCAAGAGTATGATTAAAAAAACGTTTTTTTAATTGTTTTGTATGAAAGAAGAAAAATAAAACAAGAAAAAACACAAACCTAAACTTGCTAAAATAATAAAAGAATGAATAAAACCAACAGAAAAAAATTTAAAGAATTTGTTTTTTTTATTCTTCTTTATTTTTTTTTTGTTTTTATTTTTCTTAAAACTTACCAATTCGTGATCGATTTTGTCGTTGTCTATATTGTTGACTAGTCGATGGTGGAAGATAACTTGTTGCATGAACACGTTGATAATGTAATCTTGAACGTCCATCATCTTGTTTAACTTTTTCATGAAGTTCAGGTTCACTGATACCATGACGTATTGGTGTTGTTGTTGTATTAATATCATTTGTTAGTTCAGGTACACGAACAATTGCAACAATTTCATTTGTTGAATGTTTACCAAATGTAATTTGATTTTGTGGACTTAATGATGTTACTTCCATAGTATGTGTACTAATATTATTTGTTCGTGTTGATGGACTTAAACGTAAATTTTCTTGAGATTGTTCACGTTCAATAGGTTTAAACCATGTTTCTTCAATACGAACTGGTATTGCTTCATGTATTGATGAATCTTAAAATAAAAAAAAATTAAGCATTTTAATATTTATTGATTATTCAATGAAATTCTATTGTTAAAATTTTACCAGCAGTTGTTTTCGTTGATTCATAATATTGTGGTCGTTCATTAACTAATTTACGTTTTGTTGGTGTTATTTCATCCGATGGACTATATGTTGAATGTGATATTGCTGTAGTAATTTTTTTTGGTGAACTTATTGGACTTGATATACGTTCAGTTTTAGTTGATTCTTTTATTTCATTTGTTCGTTGTACTTGACATTCAACATGAGTTTCAGTTTCAATTGTTTCAATTTCATCAACAACTAATGGTTTTCTTGAACGTGATTGTGTTGTTATTGGAATTTTATTTTGTTTATCAATTCCACTTTGATAATTTGAGAGATTTTCATAATCATCTGGTTTTGAACTTATTAATTGTCGTCGAACAATTCGTTGTTGATGATGAGTATTTATTGGTTCATTTGATGTTATTTCAGTATTATATTTATATGTTGATCGTGATATTGAATCATCTATATTTTGAATTGTTGTTTGATCACCATCGGAAATTTGTTCTCGTCGAACATAAGGTGAACTTGTTGATGTTGTTGTTGAATCAATATGAACACCATTTTCATATGTACGTGTTGCATCATCAATAATAGATGTTGATACATTATTACGCCAAGAAGGTGAACTTGTTCGTAATTGTTGACTTGTTGTTGTTGAATATTCATATATACCAGAATCAGTTGTAAGATTTGATTTAGGTTGTTCATGAATTGATTTTGTTGGACTTGGAGATAAATTCGATGCAAGTTCAACTAATATACCTTTACCTATAGATAACAATAAACTTATGTAAAGTTTAGATCATAATGAAGAAATAATTTTACCTTTACTTATTGGTACATGTGAAAGTATATTTTCCATATTTCTTTCATTAAATTTAGTTGTTGTTCGTTGTACAGTTAAATTAGTATCAACTGGTTGTGATGTACTTTGTGAAAAATCTCGTAAACGTGCTTTTGATATATGTCGTCGTGTATCATAATTTTGTTTTGGATCACTTAATTCATCTTCACTTTCATGACCAGCATCTTCAATATGTTTTTGTTTAGTTGATTTTAATGTTGTTTGATAATTTGTTTGTGATAAACGATTTAAATCTGAATCAATTGTTGATGATGTTCCTTGTTTTTTTCGTATTTGTATATCAATTGTTGTCTGTGGTAATGTTTTAGCTATTGAAGATTCAAGTTTCGATGTAATAGCATCAAATTCTGTTTTACCAAGACGATCACTTGGTTGTATACGTGATGTTGATTTTGATTCAATACTATCAATATGAGATAAACGATCAGTTACAATAGATGGTGATGTATGAGTTTCACTCATACGACGTTCATTTGTATCAAATTCATTGATCTAATTAATTATAAAAGTAAATGTGCAATGTGAAGGGTGTTTTCTTTTTCTAGATTCTTCTTGGAAATCTGAAAATTATTATTATTATACTATCTATTTATATGATGAATAATGTGGTTTGACTTTGCGGTTTTTTTGTTGTTATTCCTCCCATATTGATTAGTATGAAAAGAGTGAGAGAAAGAAAATCAGGCAAGTAAGCAAACGTCACAAATACCAATAGGATTAATTCAAACCCCAAGCAAATCGATAAACATCTCGTTTTTTTATATCTTACCGATCGTCGTGCATGATCTTTATTTGTTGGTTCACGTTCTTCAAAAATTTTTCGTCGTTGTTCTGTTAAACCAGTAGTTATCGAAGTTTGATATTTTGATGTATTATCATCTTTAGTAAATTCATTACGAGTTGTTTCAAATGCATTTTTTAATTCACCAACACGACCAAATGTTGGTCGATCAGTTCGTGATATAATTGGTTCATATTGTTTTCGATTTTCATCAAGAGTTGATGAAGATCTATATTTTAATGATTGTTGACGATCATCATCATCATCCACAGATGATGTTGAAATAACTTTTTCTCGTGCGCCAGACTAAAACAACAACAATAAAAAAAAATAAGAAGAGTAGATCAATTAATCAAAAACACAAAAAAGAAATTAATTAAATAGAGAAGAAAACAAATTCTCAATTAGTATTCAATGTAAAAATAAAATCAAAGAAGTCATATCACACATTGTAACACAAGTATTATATCTCATTTTCTTGACTTACATCAACAAAATGTACTCTTTTCTTTCTCTGCTCATATTCATCCGTAGATGAATAATGATATTTTTTTCCAAATGGTGATCTACGTGGTACAGATATGACTATCTCTTTGGTAGGATGTTGTGATGAAGGTGTTGATGTAAATTTTCGTTGATCAAAATATGTTCTATTACGTTCACGAACATCAATTGGAACTTCTTTATAACGTTGTTGAGGATATGATGGAATAACGGATACACGTTGAGCAGTGTAATTTCCACTGGTGTACTCTTTATACTATAGGGTATATGGTATCGTCTCATTCGAACATTATTCTAATGAGGAAACTATCTTCAAATGTAATCCACCGTTTGAACATACAAGAAGATCTATTGATCTTTAGAATACCTTTAGAATTGTAAATGATTCAATATCTCAATTCTTTTCGTGTAAAAATTTCAGATCAAACTTCAGTACGAAGACTTATGATGATGATGAACACTTTTATAATTTTCCTTGTGGGCTCAAACGGCGGATTACAATTTCAACAGTTTCTTCATTATGAGAAAGAAAAATAAAATTTTTTTTTTGTTTGTTTTAATTTACCTGATCAAATCGATCATCATCAGATGTTGGAGCATAGATTTGTCGAAGTCTATTTCGCCAATCTGAATCTCGTCGACTTGGTGATGTTTGATTTGTCGTGATATAATTATCAGTTAAATCTTCTTCTGATGTTTCTTCTCGAACTTTAGGTGTTTCAATTTCAACATGATATTCTTCACTAACAACATCTTCATATTCTTGTTTTCGTATATCTGGATAGTTTAATGTTGTTGGTGTTACAATAGTTGATATACGTTCATAATTTGATGATGGTACTGTTGTTATCATAGCTTGTGTTGTTGGTGGTATAGGTGAATATCGACTAGGACGTACATGATCATAATTTTTTGATGATAAATCAAATTTTTCTTTACGTGATTCAATATTTTTTGCAAGATTTGAATCATATGCTATTTCAGCTGTATAAGTATCTTCAGTTGTCCATTGACGATCTTGTAGTAATGATGGTGATGACGATGACATCGTCATCGATATTGGTAATGTGGAAGATGAAATAGGAGGAGGTTGACGAATCTCCTCATAACGACGAGTTTGTATTTGATTAATAGGTATTATTGTAGGTGATGGTACAATTCGATTAACTTCTCTAATAACATCATAACTTCTATGTCGTTTAATACGTACATTTTTTTCTTTATATTCTTCTTTAATAACATCACTTTTAATACGTTCACTTGTTTCATCAATTATTGATCGTAATAATTTATTTGTATTTTGATCATATTCATCTGTACGACGGCAACGAAATTCTTCACTCCATTCTTCAAAAAAAGCTTCTTCACTTGATGTTGATTTTTCATCTTCACTTATATGTTCAACTATTGTTTCAGGTACAATTATATTATCATCTTTTCTATCTATTGGATTTGAGATTACAGGAGCTTGTATAACAATAGGTGTACGTTCAATAATTGATTGTTTTGTTCTTAAATCTTTTTCACTTCCATAATTATATGTTGCTTGTTGTTTGTATTGACCATTTGTACCCATATTAACATCAACAGTTTTTTTCATTGATACATCTTCATATATAGGACCTGTTTCAGTTGAAGCCGGTGGACGAACTAAATAAAATCAATTAACTTTTTTTGATTCGAAAGAAATCATACAATCGAAACCTATATATATATATTTTTATATGTATATATAAGTTAGCATAAGAATATGAATAGATTCACTCAATTATGTAATTTATCTTACTTCGATATTCTACAGTTAATCTAATTGTTGCACCACGGGGTGTTGTAGTATTTGCTTCTACTTCAATAATTTTCTTCTTTGGTGATGATGATGGTGTAGCCATGATTTAACACCAAAAAATGAATATGCGTATGTATGTATATGTGTATGTGTGTGTGTAGATGGAAGAGAAATGAGAGGATTTATAACAATCGTACGAGTATGATAGACATTTAGTTTTTTTTTTCTAGTTCTTGCGTGAAAAGAATGAATATGTAAGTAGGAGAATAGCTAGTAATCGTTGCTCATCGTTGTTGAGAAGCACTACTATGAAATAAGGGCGTGTTGTAATAAAAATCACTCGTCTTATCAGACTTTATTAAAAGAACGAGAAGAAAGAAAAGGATGTAAAGTGAATTAGAACTAATGTTATTGGAACCATTCAACATTTATTTTATAGTGAGTAGAAGGAAGACGATTTCGTATCTCCTTCATTGGCTTCTCTCAATTTCCACATTCCTATTGACGATTGATTACTTTTCTCTCTCTCCTTCTCTCTCTCTCTCTTTCTTTTTTGTTCTATGGAATTTAATAATAAAAGAAAAAGAGAAAATGATGCTTGTGTGTGTGTGTGTTGTGTTTGGCAAAGTTCAAAACTTTTTTCTCTCAACCGCAATAATGAAAATGAATCTATATTTCACTTTTTTTCTTTGCGTCTCTCAGTCGAACGCCAAACAAGCAATCACTGAAATATCGTCCGAGGCTGTGGTTGGCGATACACGATTCATTTAAATTGTGCCGATTCTCTCTTCTTTTTCTTTCTTTCTCCTTCATCGAATTGCAGTGCTGCTCTTTCGGTTTCTTACACAAACATTGCTCAGTGGTACTCGAATGCTTACTAGCAGGCATATTAAAATGAATTGTCGCTTTGTCTCTAGTCGAGTTAGATTAAAAGCTATATTTTATTTTCGTGTTATTGTTGAGTAGAAAGAGAAAAAAAAAGAAACCCTTTGCCATGTTCGACGTTCATTAGTTAATAATCTATTGCCAATAATTGTTTGTCAAAATATATAGTGAATATAGAAGAAAAAAAAAACAAACGAATAGAAGTATTTGTGCGTGTATATATGACTTTCTTTCGTTTTTATTTCGAAGAAAATTCTGTCAGGTAGTCATGTACAATAATGGCCTTGTCTATGATGCATGTCATTTGAGCTGCTTCTTTTTTACATTTTATTTTATGATAGAACACATCAAAAAAACCTTGAGATCTCATAATATTGATGAAAGAATCAACCTTCAGTCTTGTATTTTTTTTTCTAACTTGACTATGAAAATGATTTAATCGAAAACAACAAAAAAAAAAACGAAGAAATCTCTTGACATTTTTCTTTATTTCATTAGTTTATTCGTTACTGCTGCTGTTGTTATGTTCTCAACTTCTAACATGAAATAGGATCGTATTTAAATGATATCATGTAATCCTTTATTTTTTTTTAAATACAAGCTGTGAAACTTAATACTAGCTTTTTAATCGATGTCACATTATAAATTGACGAAAAACCACATACTTAAGGATTATTTTTATAGCATATATTTTTTCAATATGTAATCAAGTATAAAAATAACATCATCAAAAATATTCTTATCTCATACAACGAAAGAATTGTCAATGAAAGGATACACCTATATACATATGGATATATAATGACTAATCTTAACAATAATACTAGAAGCTTAGATGAACTGTATCCAATATAAATAATAAGGAATATCGAACACAGAAAAATATTAGTAACATATTTAAAAAAAGAAAAGAAAGAAAAATCAAAGACATTCAAGTTGTTTTTTTTTTCAAGGTAAAGATGATTAACAAATATTTTTCTTTATTTTTTTCGACTCTTTGAGTAAAAGCATGATTAAAATATTTCATCAATACAAGTGTCTATCAAGGGCTTCAGTCATTTCTTATTTGAAATATACAAAAAAATAACTTGTTTTTTTTTTCTCTTACTTTTAAAGGATTTTGTTGATGTTGGGATTTCTAATTTCCAATTTTCATGGTCTATTTGATTATTTATAGCTTTTTGTAGCATTAAATCAGTTTGATCATATTGATTTAATTCATAATCATTCTAAATAATAGAAAATAAATATATTTATTTAAATTATTCGGTTTTTTTTACTATACTTTAATATGTAACTATGCCTTTCTATAAATGACCTTCTCAATTTGTAACAATCATTTGCTTTCATCTATATGTATATGTATATATAAATGCACATCACTATTCTAACAAGGTCATTCGACCGTTTAATAGATTGTATATAGTAAAAAGATCATTATCGTTCATATACACAAGCCTTTCGTTGAATGATCTTTTCGAAAAGATGAATGAACACGAAAAAAAAAAAGATGGATAGATGATTGTGTCTCGATAATATATTAAACAGTATGCTCCTGTCAATCAGTTCGAAGATATAATGATGTTGGCATTTATTAGAGTTCATTATATCTTCTCTTTGTGTTTGTATGAATAAAAGAGAAAAAAAAGGATCGAAAAGATATACTTTCTTTTACAATAGATATAATTGATTATTTCTCTTTTTCTCGAAATTAATTAACTTCAAATGTCATAACATGTCTAGAATTGAAGTTGAACATGTGTATTGAATCTCAAGTATGAAAACCAAAAAAAAAAAAAATACTAAAAATTTTTTTTTTAAAAAAAAAAAATCACAGTTCTTCATATGATTGATAAGATATATAATGTATAACAAAGCTATTTTTTGTTTTCAAATACTCGAAAGATTAACAATGTACAATTACTATAAGCATTAGTGCATTGAGATTAGTAATAATCAAAGTAAGAAGCATTGTATGATGTAAGAAGTTTTAAAAAGTATGATTTTATTTTATAACTAAACAAATAATACTTTATGTATATACATATATCAAATCTTGATTGATTGTATAGATTTACATGCATATTTGATATCTTTCTTTCTTGTTTTTTTTACCTCATATTTTCTTGTTACGATAGTTGATAATAAATCATCATTATCATTATTTTTTATAATATAATTTGGTTGAATTATTTCAGCATAACATATTTCAGAAAATGAATATAATGGTTGAATATGATAATGTTCTAAAGATGTTGATTGATCATATTTTAATGATATTAATTGAATATCTTCTTCATCATCAGATAGATCATGTATTTGACCATAACATAATAATTCTTGTTGTTTTATTTCATATTCATTTGGTAAAATTATTTCATCATCTTGTATTTTAACTGAAAGTATATGTGGTAAACTATCAGGTGGATGAAAAAGTGGAAATTCAGTATGAAAACTTGTTTCTAACATATGAATTTCATTGATTATTGGTAAATGCATATATGATGTTTCAAAAAATGAATTTAATGGTTCTTGTATATTTTCACCAAAATCATGTCCATGTTGTAAACGATGTGAATAAATTAAAAGTGCTGTCTCATCATCTTCAATTTGATTTATTGTAGCAAAATATAGTTGTTCTTGTATTAAAGAATTATTTGATTCTTTTTCATGATGTATTATTGTTGGTAAAATTTCAACATATTCTGATGATTGATTAATCCATGTTGGTCTTTGTAGTTGATGAGTATTATTTATTGTTGTTGTTGTTGTTGTTGTTATTGTTGTTGTTTCATTCATTATTTTATTATTATTTTCATTTTGACCAAAACCAATTGTTAATAAAAAATTTTTTGTTGGATTATTTATTTTATTATCTTCTGTTGCTAATACATCAAGAAAATATATAACAGGTACGATTGGTGTTGTAGACGATGGAAATGGTGATGATGATAGTGTTGTGTTTGTGATAGATGATGAGAGTAAAATATTTATTCTAGATGTTACAGGAATGATAACAGCATTGTTAACAGTTGAAGTAATGATATCGTTATCTTTGTCGACGGAATCTGTTTCATAGTCACTTGTAGGAGAACAATGTGTAAGAATATCTGTTATACAATTATTTTCTTGTATATTTATTGAAGTTGAATTATTTGAATTTTCATCGTCAGTTTTTTCTTTCATAAGAAAACTATTGTTCGTAGGAAGAAAATTAACACATTCGGTATTAGTTATCAATTCAATTGGTTGTCGACGTAAAGTACCCTCATGTTGAATAGTATCGATATCTTTTTCAACAGTCCATTGTTCAACAAGTTGTTCATCTTGTGATTGAATAGTAGTAGATTTAAACCATTCAATTGGTAATGTACGATTTGTTTGTTCACATCTTTTTATATTTGTTGTTGCATAAGAAATAGATATTTGATCAATTAATGGTAGATGTTGTTCATGATCAAGACATTCTTCAAAATGATTTAAAAATATTTCCATATCAATAAATGACGATATTTGAGAATCAATTGAAAATTCTTCAATATGATCTGATGAAAGTTTTATTAATTCAGTTTCATTATGTGTTATGATTTTTTTTTCTTGTTGTTGAAAATTTTTATATGAATGTTTATAATTATAATAAGGATAGTTTAATGTTAATATAGTTTGAGAATGAATAGGATTTTCTAAATTTGGACGTTCATCAATATGAATATTTGCTTGTTGTTGATATCGAATTAGATAAGAATCATCTAATAAAGATAGAGCTTGTTCATCATAATCAAGAACTTGTTGTTGTTGTTGTTCAAATGAATTTTCAAATAATTCATTAGATTTGTGATCATTTATAATAGATTTTGTAGTATATTGTTGTGGTAGATATATTTTTATTTGTTCATATTTAATATTTTCTGTATATTTATGTTGAGCATTTTCTATATTTGATTGAAATTCATTAGAAATTATTTCAATATCTTCATCAATCCATTCTTGATCATCGATAATGATTGGTATACGAATATTTTCTTTGACTTTTTCATAAGTTTTCCAATTATGATTATCATCAATTATTTGTTTAGCATATTGTTTATGTATAGTAGTAGTATTCGATTCTTCAAGAAGTGAAGCAAGCTAGAAGTAAATATATATATATATATGTTACAAGGTACATTAAAAGTCTAGAACAATTTCAAATATCTCCTAAGAAGAAATTAAAACTTT